AGATTGGCTGGTCCTGGGAGGAGGCCTGGTGGCATAGTGGTTATGCACTGGGCTTTGACCGTCAAGGTCAGCAGTTCAAAACCCCTAGCGACTCTGTGGGAAAAAGACAGGACTTTCTTCTCCCACACACAGTCACAGTCTCAGGAACTCACGGGGCAGTTGTATCCCGTCCTTTAGGCTCGTTATGAGTCATTACTAGCTCAGTGGCAGTAACTTTGATTTTTTGGTTGGTGAAGATACAGCCTTGGACGACGCAGAGGCGGTTCCAGTCTACTGTCCTGTAGCATCGCCGTCACCGTGAGTCAGAACTGATCCGATGGCATCGAGTTGTCCTGTTTCACCTTCGTAGGATACTGGCTCTTTCGACCTGAATATAGTAAAGCATTACTATGTTTATGATTCAATACTCATTAATTCATGTATCAGAGGGCCTGGAGTGCTGTGTTTGTGCTGCTTAGGGGAAAGTTAGCTCAATCCACCAGTCAATCCATGGGAGAAAGATGCAGCTGTCTTCTTTGTATAAACTACAGCCTCATAGAACCCAGTGGGGCAGCCCTGCTCTGTCCTAGAGTCCTTCTGAGTTGGAAAAGACTCTGTGGCATGGGTTTGATTTGATTTTTAGATCGATTCATGTATTAAGTGTACGTTCCTGAATCTCGTGTTTTGTTTCATGGACTGGGACTAGAGAACCTTCTAGTGGCTGGTTACAGTTGCAGTTGGGTGTTTCAGATTTTTTTCTATTATGTTTTTGAACATTTTTTTCTATTGTACTTGCTCCTTGTTTTTCCAAGGTTATCTTTTTCTTTTTTTTAAATTTGTTGTTGTTGTTCCTTAAAATACTTTTATACCTGAGTTTCTTTTAAGATGATTCTTAACTCTTTGCCCAGAATTGGCTTTCTCAAGCCGACTTGACTGGTTTCAGTACAGTCTACTTTGGGGTTCTATTTTCTTTAACATGGCTTTGATCCAGACCATTAACCTTTTGATTTTTATTCCTTTCTTTCGTATCTGACGGATCTTCTTGGAGCTCTAGTTTTCACGAAAAGCCACCTTTTCTTGACTTGCTTCAGGTTTGCCAACGGTGTTCTGTTGTGTTCTGCCCTATGTCTGGGCGGTTCCTCTGTCGAGATGATCACACGTGCACGCTGTTAAATCCCTTTGTTCTGTCTTTATATCATGACAACACGTGTGTTATGCCCACACGATTCACTTTTCTTTCTAAATGTAGCTACTTGCTATGCTATGAGGACCTAACCAGAGCTGGTGAACATGTGGAGAAACTGGGGCCCTCGGGGAGTGCTGGTGGGACCATAAAATGTGTAGCTGCTGTGGAAAACATTTTTTTCTTGCTCCTCAAGAAGTTGCCCTTTGAACCAGTCATTCCTCTGCCAGGTGTGCACCCACAGGAACTGGGAACAGAGACTCGAGGAGATACTTGCATGCCAGTATTCGGTGCAACCTTATTCACCAGAGACAAAAGGTAGAAGCCACTGAAATGCTGCCCACCAGCAGCAGAATGGGTGAACGAAACATGGTCCATCACACAATAGAAAATGATGAACAGGTTTGTACCCGTGGAAGACGTGTCATAAGCACGTCCTAACAAATGCAATACTAATTTGTCATTATTTCTTCATTTTTGCAATATGATTTTCTGAGCTCCTCCTTCTCCCCTCAAATAATTCTAGTAGAACCCTGGTGGCACAATGGGTTATGCATTGGACTGCTAACTGCATGGTCAGCAGTTTGAAACCACCAGCTGCTCCTGGAGAGAAAGATGAGGCTTTCTCTTCCCGTAAAGAGTTACAGCCTCAGAAGCTCACCGGGGGCTGTTCTACTCTGCTCTTTAGGCTCGCTGTGAGTCAGGATGAACTTGAGGGCCATGATCGTTCCTGGTAATCTAGAGAGAAATAAAGACCGGATCCATTCCACAATGGGGTTGGATTTTGAAAATGTTATGCCGAGTGAAATCAACCCACCCAAACCCACTGCTACTGAGTTGAATTCGACTTGCACTGATGCTCTGTAGGGTCTCTGAGGCTATAAATGTTAAGAAGTGCAGACAGCCTCATTTTTACCCTGAGGAGTGACTCACGGGTTTGAACCTTTGGTCTTGTTTACTGCCTACTGGACAGTGCCAACAGGACTCCTTTGAATGAAATAGGTCAGTCACTGTGTTAGTCTGGGTAGACTAGAGAAACAAATCCATAGACACACTCATAAGTGTATGAGAAAGAGCTTTATGTACAAGAGCAGTTGAATATTGAGAAAACATCCCAGCCCAGTCCACATCAAGTCCATAAGTCTGATATTAGCCCATATGTCTGGTACCAGTCTATAAGGTCTTCTTCCGACTCACAAAACACATGCAATGACACCAAATGCAGGAAGATCGCAGGTCAGTGGGTGGACAGTCTTGTGGATCCAGTGGTGGTATAAGCATCTCAGCGCTGGCATAGCTCTCCACGTGGCTCCTCCAGATCCAGGGCTCTCTCTGCCATCAGCATAGCCCCATATGTCTTGTCAGTAGAGAGTCTCTCTGGGAGTGAGCATGTGTCCAGCCTCCAAGGAGGAAGACAGGATTTCCCAGAATCCTCAGGAGAAGGCCATGCCCACCCAGAGACCTCGTTGGCTATATCCTGATTGACAAGCTAGACTCTACCCCTACACGCTTAATCCTCAAATTGACACCAGATGACGTAACTACCACAGCCACCAAAGGAAGGACACATATTGTAGATCTCAACATGAATTATG